TAATTATTTTAATTAGTTTTGCAATCAAAATTATTTTTCAGATGCTTATTAACTTATTATGAAAAAGTTTATATAAATAAAGTGGAGCTGTTATACAAAGTGACTTTTGGTTCTTTGTAACAATTTTGCAAACAATCTCTCCAATAAAATGACATAAAATACTATTTATCTTAAAGTAAATTTGGAGAACTTAATAAAGATTCTTTTGCTTCTATAGAGATGAAGGAAATTTTACTACAGTACTTCTCAAAGTGGGATCCCTGGATCAGCAACATCTGCATCCCCTGGGAACGTACCAGAAGCGCAAGTTATCAAGCCCTGCCCCAGACTCACTGAATGAGAAATTCTGGTGGCGGAGGCCAGCAGTCTACTCCAAAGCCTGGCAGGTGATTCTGCTGCTTCTGAAGTCCGAGAACCTCTGCTCTCACGATTGCCTGATCAAAGGTTTTGACAATAAGACTGACAGTGTGCTTTGAGTAGCTCCTAGTAAAACTGTCGCTGACCTTCTAACTCAGTGTTCAATCATCATACTCTAGTTAATTTTAAATAGTTGATGATTCCCAACTATTCACTACTGTGCATGTTACATAATTAATTTCATAAGGTTATGTAAAGAGTAAATGAGATATCTGTAAAGTGCTTAGTGTGCCATACATGCGTGCTCCATGTCCTCTGCCTCTCATTGGGTACATTATTTTAATGTGGGTAATTGGTATTCAAATTGTTACTGTTAATTCACTTCTCCTCCCTCATAGCAAAATGAATAAACAAAAACACAATAATATATTCTTTTCATCATACATTCATAGACATTTAAACCTAGGGGGAAAATTAGAGGTTCCTTGGTTCAGGATCCTCATTTTACTGATGAGAAAACAGAAGTCCAAGGAGGCTGAGTGACAGGTCCACAGTCTCATAGAGAATAATGATCAAAGATTAGAAGCCACAGCTCTCATCTCCTGGGCTAGTGTCTTGGAGAGGAAGTCATTTGTGCTGTACTCATTATGACAACAGAAGCAGTGCTTAGTCTGGAATTTTCTCCTTTGGCATTAATCATTATTATCCAGAGCTAATCTCTCCATCTCTACTCCCTCATATATAAGCTAACACTATTATTCAAAATTTCAAAAATATTTATTAGACTTAAAATTCTCTGGATAAGTAACTAGAAAATCAGTATAAAACATATAGGCAAAAGCCACACAGTTCTACAACATTCAGTGAAATCTTGGTGCTGAATAACAGATACATATTAGCAGCTAGATATGTACAAAATTCAATTTTCTTATGTTTATGTGGCCATTTTGTATTTTGTGTCATGGACCAGTAATACGTATGCAAGAAATCGGCCTTCAACATGTCATTTTATTCTGAGAAATGTTTTTGAATGACACAATCTCGCTTGCTGCCTTAATATGTTCTTTGAAACTTCATTCTTACTAAACCCTATGACAGCACAATGGGTTTATCTCATCATATAGTGGAGAGGGGAAGGACATATGTAACTGTAAGAAGACAAAAGATCTATGCTAATTTTTAAAAGCCTCCAGGGAATTTTTTACCGTTCTTTTTTATATTACCTCAAATCCTCTTTAGACACAAGAACAAATTACAGAAAACTTAATTTACAATAGCACAGTATGAAAATTTAAGTCTTGAAACTTCCAATTATAGCTTTGTGCAATTTTGAATGCATGTTCTCTACGATATGTACATACCATATATTCAAAGCTGTTTACTAGCAGCAACATTTCTCAGCCCAGTGACATTCACCAATTTGGCAGTCTGTTCTTTTCAGAAACCAAGTTCCATCTCCAAACTCAAAACTTCACAAATCATTTTCTACATTACAGGACATGAAATTGTGCTATATCCATTATTGATTTGAGCACTTGGCACAGTATTGAATACACCCCCTTAATTGTTTCACATAAGGAAGTAGAGGAGCTGTGGCTTACATAGAAAAAAATATGATGTTTCAGGTTGGGCACGGAACTCATATCTTATTCTAATTCATGCGTCATTAGACAAAAAGCCTGAGGAACAGAAAGAGCCATCTAAGCATTTTCCATGTTTGAAATGCTTGAAGATGTTTTAGATTAATAGGGTTTGATGCTTTTAGTGATGTCAACGATGGGAAATGTCTTATTAATTTCATTGACTTACTCTCAGAAATTAAACACAATTTATAATTACTGTTAATCTTTTCTGATTATGAAAATCCATTAGAGCAAGAAAAGTATAAAGTTCAGAAAAGTAGAAACAATTTAATAAAAATATTTGAATGTATTTATAAGAATAGAATGCTTGGATATGGGCTTAAAATTCCCCTGAAAAGATTTGTTATAAGATTATAAAATATCTTTCTGTGTATTAATATTTAAACCATTGTTTCATCCTTAAATTACAAAGGTCATGTTATTCATTTTTAAACTCTTTAAAATTCCCAACTTCAATCACAATACATGATGCAAGGTAAACCTGAAATGATTTATTTAAACTTACTACACTAATCAGCTAGCAAGATCTCTGTTTTCTTGGGTCTTAGAATCTAGAAAAAAACAGTTATTAATTCCTCACTATCCCTTCCCAAAATTCTCTGGTTTGTTGACATGTTAATAAGGTTCCAAGAATGTTCTAAAAGAAAGCAAAATCACCACTAAAAACGAGTATATTCTGAAAGTAAAAATTGTGGGTTTTTTTTCCCCCCTGCCGGAATTTATTTTCAGTTAAAATAAATTCTATCCTTGAATGTGTGTAATAGGTCCTTGGTCAGACTGTGTTCTCTTATCATCAAATATAAATATTGAAAGCCCTAAAGATTGTTCTTAAACCCCAATTCAAATTACCACCGCCAGCATACCAAATGCCCCAGGGTGGGTGTATTAAAAGCTCTAAAAAGATTCTGCTTTTACTTTTTAGCCAAATGGACATGTTTTATTCAGGTTCCTGAAACGAAATCCTTATTCAGCTTATCTACACTACTTCGAGGGTGTGTCTTTCCTTTCTAAATTCTCGCTGTCATAATGGGCCTAATGTGCCTCCTCCTGCTCAATCCCCTCTCATCTCTTGCCTCCTGCATCTCTTTCCCTTCCTCCTTTCACTCCTTCCCCTGCTCCTTGCACCTCCTAAGTTCCCTCCTGCTCCCTCATCCAGTGCTTAGTGGTACCACCTCTTACATTTTCCCCAGACCAGAGATAATGCTGAATCCTTCTCTAGACTCACTGTTTATTTCTCAGGATAAATTTACCTGATTACCCTTCTCTGCTAGTTTCCTATGGTGGTCCCTTGATGTCTATTCTAGTAACATCCTGACCCTTCCATTTCAGCTGTCATTGTAGAAGCCCGTGTATATTTAATGACGTTGTTTTTTAAATGATCTATTACTTGGCAGCACTAAAATCAGGGATCGTGTTGCTTTTTTCCATTATTAGCCTCAAACACCTATGTGCCAGCCACAGAATAGCACATATGCTCTATCTGTGCACTGAATGACAGTAGGTGGATCCCTGTCCAAATAGGCACATACACCCTGGCAGGCAATCAGAGGATTGAACAGATGAGTAAGCACAGGGCATCTCTTTGTGAACTCTGCCAGCTGCTAGTATTTACTCTGGCCTTAGGTTCATATATAATTTTTGTCTTCTAAAAACTTTATAAAACACCCTAGTGTACACACACACACACACACACACACACACACACACACACACACACACTTGGGTGGACATGTTCAATGATTCAGCATTTTTGGTGGTTAAGACTGCCATATCAACAGTGACAAATCAGGTTTCTGGTGATTGTTTTTAATAACTCTTGCTATTAAAAATCCCTGAAAGCTAAAGAGCTTCTTGCATTGTGATCCCAAAGAAAAACCCAAGTTAGGCAGGATTAGCTAGGCCCCAAGATACTAAAGGACACTGACGAAAACATGAAGTCCCTGCATGCAGACAACAGATTTCTGATGTCATTTTTCCCTCTGGCAGTCCTTCAAGAGACGATGAAAAAGAAGAGCAAGTATCAATTAAAATGAAATAGCCACTGTTTTCCTATTTAACTTTCATTTTTATTTTTTACTATTCGACTATGTGAAAGCCGGGCTCGGTGGCTCAACCTGTAATCCCGCACTTTGGGAGGCTGAGGTGAGTGGATAGCCTGAGCCCACGGGTTCGAGACCCGCCTGGGCAACTTGGCAAAACCTCATCTCTACAACAAATCAAAGATTAGTCGGGCGTGGTCGTGTGCCTCTGCAGTTCCAGCTACTTGGAAGTCCGAGGCAGAAGGATTGCTAGAGCCCAGCAGGTCGAGGCTCCGGCCACTGCACTCCAGTCTGGGCAACAGAGTGAGACTCCAACTCAAAAAAAAACCTATTCGACTATATGGCATGATTTTTTTAAAGAAAGAAAAAAACAGTTTTTCAAACAGAAAGTCTACTTTACTCTGACTGTATAGCCTCAGGCATTCTTTCCAGTCCTCAGTTTCTCCACATGAAAAATGGGGGTAATACTGGCAAGCTCCACTGAAGAATAAAAGAGACAAGGTGTAGAAAGCTGCAGAGTGTGTTTTTGTTTTTCCTCTCTCCCTACTGGTCTCCTGGTAAAATTCAGATATTCATGTTGAAAGCCTTTAAAGTATTCAGGTATCTGTGTGATGTAATTATCAAACAGTCATTTGTTTTGACTGAAGAAGTTAAAAGTAACTTTCAAAGAGAGAGGGCTTTTCTTTCCTTCCTAAAGAACAAAGCAGCCTGATGTTTGCATCTAAAACATACACAAAAATACATGTTTAATGGTAAAAACCCATTTTTAATATCATGTTAGGCCGTGTTTCATCAGAAAAACATGAAGAAAAATAGCACAATACTTCTGGAGATTTCTGTCTCTCTCTCTTCTCTCACAAACACACACACACACACACACACACACACACACACACACACACACACACACCTCATTCTCCCTCTACGATTTTCCCTTCCATCAAAAACATATCGTTTATTTCTATACTTCCTCAAAAGCGGAGAATGCAGCAACTCTCAAAACCTCTAAAGAGTGTACTAGTATTAAAGCTCCAGTTAAGTCTCGCCACTCTTTGGTCACAGGGTTTTTCATTCTGTCCAGAGCTGATTGAAGGTCTTGTAACACGTCTCTGTAGCTATTTCCATAGTGAGCGCTCCAAGTATAAAGAAAATCATAGGCAGGTTTCCACATCATCTATAAAGAAAAAAAATCAGACTGAAATAGTGTGGAAGTAAAGCAGAGAGAAAAATAGATGTTAAAAAAAGATGTAAAAGCCTCATATGACTTTTAAAAAATAGAATACCAATTATACATGAAGTTATTTAATGCCATAGAAAAGACGTTTTAATAACTATCAGTTCTCTGCATATCTCTGTATTTTTAAAACTAGAGATTTTTAAAACAATGACTACAAGTAGGGGCTTTAATTTTTGTTGATTCATCAACCATACATTGCTCATTGCCTTTATGCGAATATAAAATTTCTCGCATAATTTTTTGATGATAACACATAAAGAAAAACGTTTCACCCTCCAAGAGACTTTTAAGGTTAAAGTAATGTTCTTTATTGTTATGCCTATCTATGATGAAATTTATGACACCACATATCACAATAAAGAGCTATACAGTATGTTTAGCACTTTAAGTGATTTTATTCAAGCAAGTCTATAATAAACAAGCAAAACTGTAGTTTCATGATCAAGTCAAAATGAAATAAAAAATATACCTCTCTACTTTAAAATATTACTTGAATGATATATTTTTGGCCCCCTAAAAATCAATATTCAATGCTTCTTCATTTTGCTTTCCCTAAGCACCTGTTCATACCAATGATGTCATTGTTTCCATAGAAATAAATGTACGTCAAAGAGAAGCTTCACATACAAGCCTGTATGTAATGGTAACCAAGGCAACTAGGCTCAGAGAGAATAGAGACAAAGGCAGACCAAATAAGACAAATTGTAAAATACACACAGACATACAGCTTATAATAAATTTTCTCTAGGAAAACCACAAAATGAATCATGTACTTATATCTTGATTATTTGGGTTGTAAGCTTTATTATTAACTTCTTTTTTGGGTTCAGTAAACTAATTCAGTTGTGATTCTATCATTTGCAAAATGTAGGAACACAGACTCTGAGCTAAATATTATGCAGAATTGTCCTTTCAAAATAGAACCTCCATTAACAGTAATATCACATGACATAGTGCCTTCGGATATAATTTTCACCCTCTTCCAATATACTCATACAGTCTAAGTTTGAAGTCAAAAGAATTAAAGACCTAAGTAAGGAGTTTCATTATGTTTTGACTCAATCCACATAGAGGGCTCAAAGGATAACTTGATGTTATTTGTCCAAATTGGCATTTCTGGGAGCTATGAATGCTCCTATTCTCATCTCTCTTGACAAAGCTCAATTCTACAGGGTAGAGAGTGAAAGATAGTTACCAAAATTATTTGATATCTGTATATCATATACATCAATGTGGATGATGTAGCAACAGAAATTATCCCAGATTTTAAAATATAAGCTGTACCCTCACCATCAAGATTCATAACTTGATCTCTATCACTGATAGAATTTAAATGAGGCATCCTCTACATTTCTGAAGACCTACATTGAAACAAAACCTCTCAAAGTACAGATTGCCACTAGCAGCTCAACGATGGAATATGATTTGAGGCATAATAACAAAATCTTTTTGTCAGACTTTACCTTGGTTGTTGCTGTTCAGTTGCAAAAAAATTGCTAAACAAGTAGATTTGTGTATAGTGGGTATACCCTGAGTGACTGTAAAAGCTCTGGGACCAATATTCTATCTTGCTTTCACTTAAAAGTCCCCCATGCTCAACTAACTGGTACACTGTTTTCCTATTTGTCAGGTATTGTTTAAAATTGTGGTGTTTATGACTAAAGCCTTCTAAGACTGTTTTTAGTCTCTTAATGACTGAGTCTGATAAAAGATGTATTTGAATGTATTTTATGATAGCAGCAACTTAGAGCATTTTGGTAACAAGGAGATTTGTGTAGTAGATTAGCATAAAGTTTTGCAAAAAACAGATATATTTCAAGAATTAAAAATGGAAGATTTCAGGGTTGTTCACTACTCTGCAGATTCAAGTAACTTTATAGTCAGAAGCAACCGAAATGGCCCCACTGGCTTTCCTGATTAGAAAAGCTCTGTATCGTCTGTCTTGCCACAGCACTGTGAATTGCTATGTATAGAAAAGGCCTGCGGCACACTCAACCATGAAGCAGCTTCTCAGTGCTCTTAGGAAAAGGAAATACACCCAGGTGATGCAGAAATTAGAAACTATAGCTTCAGGAAAATTCTAACGATACGTTTACTCACACACTTAGGCCAAGAGCCACAAACTGCCTCACATTTGGCAATTTGTACTGATCAAGAGCTGTATAGCCAGCTCTTGCAAGTCAGAGAAATTTGGATAGATTGCTGAGTCCTGGACCCTAATTAAGACTTCTGAAAGTGTATAGACTTCCCAAGAGTCACCTGAATTAGTCTAAAATGTAAAGAGAAATATTGCCCTAAACCGATTTGAGATTCCTGGAGTCTAAATCACAATCTGCAAGAAATGGGTACAGAAGCATTGGGCTGAAAACAATGGGGCACTGATAAACTTAATAATTTGTGCTAAAATATGAGTATATTTTACATCCAATTTCTGTTTCTCAATGCAGCAAATTAAATCTATTGTCTGATAAACACTATTGTGACACAAATACAATTAAAATATTCAAAATACATCATTGTCCATTAATTATTTCACTTATTAAATCAAGAATTACTGAGTATCTACCACTACAAATAATGTTGTTACAAGGAATAAAATAATGACTATGGCATGCCTTCTTGCTTTTAGAAGTTTATAACTTAAAAGGGAGATAGATACTTGCACAAACACTGGAGTAAGAGTAATAGAAAATGAAACAGGTGCTTCATGTGGCAAAAGCCAAGAAAAAATAGCATCCAAAAAGGACATGCGGTGGCTTGCAAAGCCAGCTCACACAAGCCTCCCAGAGATGACTGTTCATATTTTCTCCCACCTTCGCGTTCAGTGACATCACAGCGGTAGGTTAAAATCATCTAGGTTAGGGGTCTTTGCATCATGACAGTTAGTAAAAGCTAGACATATGGGGTTTCCCCCCTTGGAAGGTTAGGGTTGTTCAACATTTGCCAGCAGGCTACTGACGACTTCTCTTTTCTGTTACCCTCCCACTACCAATAACATATACCCATAAGATGTAGCAGCAGCTATAGAACTGTACAAAGTTGATTATGGTGAGATAAATATCACTGCGCCAGAGCTCTAGTTCAAAAATGAAGATTTGAGAAGTCATTCTACGTACTTGACCACTAGTAGATGAATTCTCATATAGTACTTTTCCTTTCTTTAAGAAACTGTCAATATATTTCTCACTGCAAAAGAACATCAAAGAAAAGAATTAAGTACCAAGGCTCAAGCCTGTAATCCCAGCACTCTGCGAGGTCAAGGTGAGAGGATTGCTTGAGCCTGTGGATTTGAGACCAGCCTGGGCAACAGGATAAGACTCTGTCTCTACAATAAATAAAAAATTTAGCCAGGTGTGGGAGCACATGGCTGTAGTTCCGGCTACATGAAAGGCTGAAGGATCGCAGGAGCCCAGCAGGCTCTGTCGATGTTGGGGTGGCCGTGAGCATGCTACTGCACTCCAGCCTGGGTCACGGAGTGAGATCCAACTAAAAAAAAAGTGTCAAAGCTAGAACTGAACCAGGACCAGATACAGAACAGGACAGTTCAAAAAAACTGTGATGTGGAAATATGACCAATAACTTAGGACTGGGTGCAGTAGCTCATACCTGTAATTCCAGTACTTTGGGAGGCTGAGGCAGGAGGATAGCTTGAGCCCAAGAGCTTGTGACTAGCCTAGGCAGGACCTCATTCCTATGAAAAAATAGCATTAGTTGGGCGTGGTGGTGCTGGCTTGTAGTTCCAGCTACTTAGGAGACTGAGGCAGGAAGTTTGCCTGAGCCCAGGAGGTTGAGGCTGCGGAGAATCATGATCATGTCACTGTACTCCAGACCGAGTGACAGAGTGAGATCCTGACTTGAAAAGAAAAGAAATAAAAATAAAATTTAGAAAAATCAGGCTTTTATCAACTAATTAGAAAAGCCAGGCTTTTATCAATTAGCAGGTCTTTGGTAACTGGGAAAAGGCAGTTAAGAGTAGGAGCAGGCAAGAGAGTTGTAGCAGGCATACTACAGATATGAGGCGGCATCAAAGAAGTGAAAGACACAGAACAAATGATGCAAATTTCAAAGTTTAGTGTTGAAGGAAAAGAGATAGAAACAGAAGAAGAAGTAGAAAAAAAGAGGAACTTTTAAAAGGGAAAAAAGTCTTTAAAAAAGTAATACTCCACAATGAAAAGGAGACTTGGGTTTGAATCCTAATTTTGCCGGATAAAGAATTTAGGGTTAATGAGGATTAAAGAGACAGTATACATAAAACATCTAAGAAGAAATGTTGCCTTCTTTCAGCGGAAACATAAATGCAGAAAGTTGTTAAAAATCATTATGGAGTTGGGATACATAATTAGAAGGGCAAGTATCATTAGATATTGAGAAGACATGATAACAGAAGTGAAAATCAATAGTTATTTGATCCACTGATACAAAATATTACGTGTCAGGAACTCTTTTCCTTTAGAAAGCAAATATCTACTGCTTGCAGTTAATGTAACTTTTTCTATATTAGCTTTTGCCTCCACAAAGACTGATGATAGTCCGGCTGTCATCAGTACACTAAATAGTCTAATCAGTTGTTTTGTCCTTTGTGGAACAGATATATGATATTTGGGATCAAGTCCTCAAATCCACTTTTATTTCTTCAGCATTTCTTATTATCAAACTTCATTTTGGTTTTCTCACAAAGAGCATATATATTATCAAAGGAAGATACAAGAGGTAATTGGTGTACATTAACTAACAATAGACTCTATAAAGTTATATCCAGAAAAACATACCCCCAAAGAGTCACAAAAAAGTCTTCATTTTGTAATCAATTACAAAGAAAGTGAGATCATCTTCTCTGGAAATGTTGGAAGGAATAAAATGAGTAGAATAAATAATTTTCTAGGCTGACCTAAATTAAGTCGTCTGAAAGCTGGAAATGAGTTGCAGCCAGCCAAGTT